TCCATAGTAAATCTTCCATGACTACCTAGGTACCGAAGGCGCGAGGCTGTCGGAACACTGTCGGAACCGGAGACGGAGAAGGCATCATCAAATGACCACACCAGGGCAAGGACAGGACCCAGCGGGATGCGCGGCACTACATCCTGTGATGACCTCCAATTCGTGCAGTGGCTGGACTAAGGCATCCGGGTTCCGTCAAGTGCCTCGGGATTGCAATGGGGAGGTTGGCGAGCGGAGCTAAATTATCCGCACGGATTCTCGGAAATGTGCCCGCCTCTTTCTCACTCCGCCATGTCAAACACACCCAGCAACACGGCGGTACCACAGAAGCGGAGCCTTGATGTCGCGCCGGGCACCAGCAATACCAGGCAACGATTGGTGAAAGTCACGAGAGCATGCGATGTGTGCAAGGCGAGGAAATCAAAGTGCTCCGGCGACCAGCCGTGTGCGAGCTGTATCCGCCGGGGTCTAACATGCCAGTACGAAGCCGTCTACCTGAGAGGCAAGGTAGTCTCCCCGCGCCCTTCTGGTCCCGCCGTTGCTAGCCCTCAGCGTACCATGTCTGTTCCAGGCTATCCTCATGCTATACTTAGTGTCGCACCAAGTATGGCTGTAGGCAGCAACCATCGCGTTGGGGAAGAGACGGAGCCTCCTTCGCGAGCTTCCCCTGGACTTGAGATCGCAGCTGGGCAGTACTCTGACTCAACGTCTGGTCTCTCATTCTTGAGTCGTGCATGGCGGCGCATCTCCAACAAAGAAAGCAGTCAAGTCGTGATAGGCTCCAACGAAGACCGCCAACTACTCATGAGTGCTGGTGACAAGCCCTTCCTGGAGAGTGGCCAACTGCAGATGCCATCCCTGGACCGTAGTCGCCAGCTTCTTCATCTATATTTTGATGTGTGCATTGCGACATATCGGCTGTTACACAGACCAACTGTTGAATGTTGGTTAGAAACTGTGTCTAAGAACGCAGAACTCAACCAAACCCTCTTTCATGGTATGTATCACTCTGATTGAAGACCCTTTTTAATTTTACTTACAATACCTCTTGTTGTAGATATTGGTCGTGCTAAAACTGCAGTGGTCCTGTCTGTACTAGCCATTGCCTCGTTTCATGAAGAAAAGACGAGCAGCGAAAGTGGTCCTTCACCAGCACCTCAAGCCGACATGCAGTCACAGAGTGACATGCTTTTTTCTGAGGCATCCCGACTTACACAATCCGAGACTGGTATTCCAAAGCTTGAGTCAGCTCAATGCAGGCTTATACAGGTCCTGTACCTTCTCATGTCATGTCGCTTCAACCAAGCGTGGTATACGTTTGGCCATGCCCTACAGATTATTTCAGCGTTGGGTTTGCATCGCAGAGACGATCGTAAACGTCAAGCTAATGCCCCCAAACGCGACTACATAGGTGAACAGTGTAGAAAGCGCACATTTTGGGTGGCTTATACGCTGGACAAATATCTTGGTGTCATATTCGGGCGGCCCAGACACTACCACGATGAAGATATCGACCAAGATTTCCCCGACGCTGTCAATGACGAAGACATGACCAGCACCGGTCCAAACACTACGAACACAGACGACTGTCACATAGAATCGCTCGTGTATCATGCGCGGCTGGCACAAATTGCTGAAAAGATATCCCGAGAGGTGTATTCGATCAAACCAGTACGTTAGCAAATCACACCCTCCAGCTCAACCTACTGATCAATCCGTTATCAGGTGCCGGATCAGGTCCGACTTGCAGCCTCTCATCGCCTTGGGGCAGAGTTGCGCCAGTGGAAAGCATCGCTACCACCCTTCCTTGGCGCCGTCAACCCTAGCAGTCTCATTCCTACGTTCCGACGGCAGGCAACCGCACTCAAACTGTCATACTGTCATGCTGTAATTCTAGCCCATCGCCCGTTTCTCCTCAAGAATGCCAGGCGTAGCAATGTAGAGATGACTAGTCTTGCCCAAGACAGTCTCACAGAGTGCATTGCAGCGGCAAGATCAGTGTTGGAAGCAGTTGATCGTATGGCGCGGGAAGGTCGGCTGTTCCATGCGTTTTGGTGGACCCACTACGTCTGTTTCTGTGCTTTGGTAGTGGTCTATGTGTGGGCTATTCAACAGAGTACCCATGCCACAGCTTCAGCTGAGGATCCTCGCGGTATCCTAGATCAAGCCGAGAGCTGTTTGCAACATCTCGCCCAGGCAACAGCGTCGAACTCGCCCTCGCGACGATACAGCATCATCCTGCAGGAACTCCGCACAGAAGCAAAGAGAAAAACAGCCATACCACATCGGGAGCCAGTACTAGCATCATCAGCTGCCGTCAATGGCGGAATCCCACCGCCTTTGGATGGAGATGCGATACAGGAACCGGATTTGCAAAACTGGCAGCCACTTTTTGGTAGCCCGATGGACATGACCACGCCAGGGTTGCAGAACTTTCTCGATGACTGGCAGACGACTGACTGGCTTGACCTCGATGCCTCTGCTTTCGGTCCTTTTCCCGAAGTGGACGATATATCAGTCTGGGTCAATAACGCATCGTGATGGCTTATGTGTTCCTGGAGTTCACGGACGCGAGACGGAAGATTGATGTTGAAGTATACAACACACTCAAGGTTATCACATTTGTCAAACAGAAGATATGTATATCTTCAGGGTAAATTTTAATATTGAATTGACCGTAGAATACCCGCGGTCACTGAGCTCACGAGAAAGCTCCGCGGAACTCGATGCTCGGTCTACGTGCGGCATCGATCCTTCGGCCGCTATCGAACGTTTGCAACTAAAGCTGATGACCTTGCTTTACAGAGTGTACCGGAATAACGGCGACTTGTCTCCCATGTTCAAGAGCTCCTGGTCCGTGTACTTCGCCCGAATCTCGTCTTCACTAAGCTTCGCCTTCTTCGCGTTGCCCCACTTGTACGACAGCTCCAGAAGGAAAGCGACAATAAAACCGGTCGCACCAAACGCGAGCGACAGTCCGAAGCCAGTGTAGTACTTGGGCTTCTCGCTCTCCAGGTACATGTAACTGCCGATGACGCCACCGATGTTACCGACGCAGATGTTGAAAGCAACGCCGATAGCACGACGGGACGATGGAGCAAGGTTGTTGGCTGCCCAACTACTTCCGGCCGGCTGAATGGGGTAGATGCCCATACACGTCAGGATGATAGCGAAGAATGCCGGGCCGATGTTGCCACCCAGATCACCATCGAATGAGATGACTACGGCGTACCCGATGAAGATGAAGGAGAGAGGGATGGCAACGAACGGCAAACGCCAGTAAAACCTGTCCGAGAGCTTCGCAAAGAAGATGGAGCTCAAAGCACCAGCCACATATGGTGGAACCGTCATCAGCTGGGCGTTAGTGTTGTTGAAACCCATACTCTTTGTGATGGTAGGCAAGGTGAACTTGGTCCCTGCGTACAGTTAGCCAGTGTCTGGTCGTGTTGCGAGTTACACATACCATATGAGCATGCCGATATGCAAAGCAGGATGTATGCTTGCATATAGAGGCGCCAGTTGCATAGCACGGCTTTCAAGTCGCTCCACTTGAAGCCCTCCTTTTGCTCCTCTCCAAATCTTCCGCCGTCTTTGATGAATCGTTGGAGTTCGAGGAAGCGGATCTCGTCGGGTTTCAACCACCGTCCGCTCAACGCAGGAGAGTCGATCAGGAGGAAGAAGCACGATACACCGAGGGCGACGGTGACAATCCCCTCCAAGATGAATATCCATCTCCAGCCTTCATAACCCCCGACACCATCCATCTTGGCGATGGCCGCAGCAAGCAGACCACTGAACGCCCCAGATAATGCCGAAGCACAGTAGAAGTACGAGATCCTCGTCGCAAGGTCCTTTGGCATGTACCAGTAAGAGCAGAGATAAATCGCGCCTGGGAAGAATCCAGCTCTGTATCTCGTCAGCACAGAAACATCACGCTGTGGCGTAAACTTACTCGAACACCCCGAGAAGGATTCTTGTAATCAGTAAACCGACGAAGCCTTTCACGACACCCATCATGGTCATGATGATACCCCAACAGACGATGAGTATGCCGAGATAGTACGATGGACGCTTGAACTTCTTCAAGAGAATGTTGGATGGAACTTCAAGAAGAATGTACGGCACGAAGAACACTGATAACACGATGTTCCATTGCACACCGTCAAGACCCAGGTCTGTGACCATGCCCTCAATCTTCGCATTGCCGATGTTCGCTCGATCGATGTGGGAGATGAGGTAAAGGACTGCAAGCATCGGCACCAAGCGAATGTCGACCTACAAATGATCAGCGGGTCACTCGACGCACAGCATCGGCGGTTTCCTTACCTTGTGGATTACTCTTTTCCTTTTCTCTTCCGTGTAGTTGATGTAAAAGTCCGCATCTTCAGGTGCCAGACCCAAAACTTGGAAGTTGTCGATCTTGACGATCTGATGCGGCTTGGATGAATCGATGGAGTCTGCCTTTTCATCGATGTATTGGATTTCGTGTTTGTCCATTGATGGAGACATTGCGATGAATAGAAAAGAGGAATGAAGTATACCAGGTTGACGCGAAACCCGGGATGCGATGATTATCAGCAATGTCGGATGCCACAAGCTTTATACACATGACACTGGTCGCGGCACACCATGGTGATGGCGGTTGGATTGCGGAGAAACATGTGGCACCCCGGTTTTTCGGTTTCCTGGAGAAAGCTAGTTGCGGGGAAAGTAGTTCTTGCACCAAGCCCGATCACGACAATCATCTAATCAGCTCCCTCGCGGATGGTTTTCCGAAGCTAACGAGAATCCGGTCAAATCAAAAGCGTTTCCGCCCCTCGGATGTATGCAGGTATGCAAGTCTCCACCTCACCCCAACGTTGTGGTCGAAACCGGGGAACGCAGCTGCACAGGAAGAACCGACAGATAATAATTCCACGATTATCATCGGTTTTGAACTCAAAGCACAGCCTCTCTTTCCTATCTCTTCGAGCGAGCCTTTGTTACAAGCCACAATCACTATGGCACCAGCGCAGATAGCTATCCCTGCGCCACTACGGCCGTCAACAACACCATCCACATTCAGACATGCGCGAGACGACCTCCTTCAACCGGACGAATCCTCGATAGAAACAGTCGATGCGCTCGTCCGGCATCGCGCGCGTCGTGACCCTCATGTCACCATCGTATCGTATCCGAGCTCTGGGGTTGACTTCGCGGATTATACCATGCAGCAGCTGGACGTCTTCGCGTACAGAGTAGCTCGACACTATCAGACCTTCATCCCTACAAGATCGAGTTCTGCGGAGATGCCAACCACAGTAGCCGTTCTGGGACCAAGTAACATGGACTACATTGTCTCGATGCTCGCGCTTACCAAACTCGGCCATACGGTACTTTTCCTTTCAACGCGTATATCTCAAGCAGCTATCGACTCTCTTATCACCACCACCGGAGCCACCTATCTGCTGGCGGATTCACGATATGCGCAATCTGCAATCGATGCTCAGAAAGCCATACCAGGGTTGCAGATCGGCGAAATTGCCAGGCCTGACACTTACAACTTTCCTGTTGAAGTCCATGCAGACACCCGCCTTGACTACCAACTCGACCATACAGTCGAAGCCTCGAATATCATCTACATTATACACTCTAGTGGTATGTTCTATATGACAGTCTGTTAGTGTTTGAGCTAATGTGAGGAAAGGCTCTACCGGATTACCGAAGCCAATATACCAGCCACAGAGAAGTGCAATCGCCAATTATGCCATTAGTATGGATATGAAAGCATTCATTACCCTTCCCCTGTATCATAATCACGGCATCTGCAACTTCTTCCGCGCGATATACAGCGGCAAATCCATCCATATCTACAACGCCGACCTGCCCCTGACCCAGTCTTATCTGGCTACAATATTGAGGCAGCATAGATTTGAGATCTTCTATGGTGTGCCTTATGCGCTCAAGCTTCTCTCTGAGACAGATGAGGGGATCGAGCTATTGAAGCAACTCAAGATCGTCATGTACGGAGGGAGTGCCTGCCCAGACGCACTGGGCGACCTATTGGTGAACAGCGGCGTCAATCTTGTCGGCCACTATGGGGCGTAAGTTTCATGTGATCACTTACAGCCGAGCCAAGCTTACGATGAACAGCACTGAAGTAGGCCAACTCATGACATCCTTCCGACCTGCCGACGACAAGGTATGGAACTACGTTCGCGAGTCACCGAAACTATCGCCGTATCTTCGATGGGTATCACGCGGACCCAATCTCTATGAATGCACGGTCCTGCCGGGCTGGCCAGCCAAGGTCGCCTCGAACCTACCAGATGGCAGTTACGCCACGAAAGACCTGTTCGAACCGCACCCTACGATTGAGAAGGCATGGAAATACATTGCGCGTCTCGATGATACAATCGTATTGGTGAATGGCGAAAAGTTCAATCCAGTCATGATGGAAGGAACGATCCGGTCCCATCGAGCTGTAACTGAGACGGTTGTCTTTGGTTCAGGTCGACCATACCTTGGCGTTCTTGTTGTCCCAGCAATCGAGGGCATGCCGAAATCGAAAGTCGTGGATGAAATCTGGCCTGTTATTGAAGCGGCGAATCGAACGGCCGAAGCGTACGCCAGGATATCCAGGGACATGGTTCAGATCCTACCATATGGCTGTCAATTTCCGCGTACCGACAAAGGCAGTGTGATAAGGCAACAGTTTTACAAGCAATATGCCAATGAGATTGAACACGCATACGACGCCGTTGCATCAGCTCAAGGAGATCTCAAAACGTTGAATGTTCCGGAACTTGAGGATTTCTTACGTACTGTCCTGGCCAAACAGTTGACGCAGGCAGGCGAAATCGAACGTACAACAGATTTCTTCTCGCTAGGCCTGGACTCGCTGCAATCGATCCAAATCCGGACGGAGATTCTCAAGAACGTCAATATCGGTGACAAGAAGCTCGGCCAGAATGTGGTGTTTGACCACCCTTCTATTGCATCTCTCGCCGCACATCTCGACAGTCTTCGCACCGGGCAAGAGGAACAAGTTGTGTCGGTCACTGCGCAAATGCAAGACCTTATTGCTCAATACAGCAACTTCGAGCCCATTGCTAGACGTCAAGCTGCGCTTACTGGCGCGACCGGTTCGCTTGGTGCTCATGTCCTTGTACAACTACTCTACCGCTCAGATGTTGACACAGTTTACTGTCTTGTACGAGCCAAAGACTACACGACTGCAGCTCGCCGGGTTCGAGAGTCTCTCATACAGCGAAAGTTGTACCACACCCTGTCGCTCTCTGGACGCAGGAAGATACAAGCCATACCTTCTGACTTGTCCGAGCCCCATCTCGGCTTAGACGATACGACTTATGCGCGTGTTGCTTCAGGTCTTACCAGTGTTATTCACTGCGCATGGAGCGTCAACTTCAACAAGAACCTGATGTCATTTGAGAAGGACTGCATTGCTGGTGTGCGTCACCTGATTGACCTTTGCCTGGCTTCATCATCGACCAAGCCTGCATCCTTCGACTTTTGTTCTTCGGTCAGTACCGTCGCACGATGCCCCGATATGCGCACGCCTGAGCGATTAGCCGAGCTTGACTGGGCCCAGGGTATGGGATATGCCCAGAGCAAATGTGTTGCCGAACACTTGTGCTTGGCGGCAGCGAAGGAGACCGGTGTCAAAGCGCGAGTCCTGCGCGTCGGTCAGATCGTTGCGGACACTGTTCATGGCGTGTGGAACTCAACTGAAGCAATACCTCTCATGATGCAGTCCGCTCTTACTATCGGCGCACTACCTCGACTGCAAGAATTCCCAAGCTGGACACCAGTCGACGTTATCGCAAAAGCCGTGACGGAGATCTCGCTCAGCGACGCTGGATCCGTAGTGGCAAATGTCACCAACGCAAAGGCCTTCTCTTGGACCGACGATCTACTTCCTGCCCTTCGAGAAGCCGGCCTTCAGTTTGATGAAGTAGAACCCAAGGAGTGGGTGCGCAGGCTTCGCGAGTCCAATCAGGATGCGGTAGCGAACCCACCTATCAAGCTTGCTGACTTCTTCGCATCCAAGTACGACAAGGATACTTTCGGTCCTTCACGTACATACGATACAACAGTCGCCCGATCTTTCTCGCCTTCTCTTGACACAGCGCCTGTACTGGATGCTGCATTTGTGAGGACGTTTGTCAGACAATTCCAGAACGCTGCCTGGCAGATACGTACTACTCCAGTCGCGAAGCCGACGAGACGCGTTGTCATTGTAGTTGCCGGGCCTTGTGGTAGCGGGAAAAGCACTGTCGTACGACGCATCGACGCTCGCTTCAAAGCACCTTGTATCGAGGGCGACGAACTACACACAGAGGAGGCCATTGTATCGATGGCTGCCGGTACTCCCCTCAATGACGTCGCTCGCGCCCCTTGGCTCGCGCGCGTTAGACAGCGAGCGCTCGATACCGTGACCAAGGAAGGCCACGAGCGCGTATTAGTCTCTTGTTCGGCTTTGAAGAAGTCATACCGGGATGAGTTCCGGGTTTTGGTGGATGAAAAGATACGGGTTGTGTTTGTGGACTTGCAAGTCGAGCCGGAAGAGCTTGTGCGTCGAATTAAGGGAAGAGGTGGTCACTACATGAAAGAGAATATGGTGGAGAGCCAAATGGCCATCTGGGAGACGGCTGATGTATCAGAGACGGATGTGATACCTGTAGATGCTGGACAGTGCGTTGAAGAAGTTGTAGAGGAGATCTCCGGGTTATTGGAGGCGCTCGATGTCATGTAAAGCGCACGCCTCGGGGGCTGTATTATCTTCTAGTCCATACGCGCAAATATTAGAAATCGAGTGGTCCAAATCCTCAGTTGTTCGCATATTGCGATGCTGTAGACTTCACCGCACGTGAGCTAATGCAAGCGAGCGAGCGATTTCAACGACAAATACATAGTCATTCAGAAATGGAGGAAGTATAACATGCCGCGTGTAATGGTTTCTTTCGTTTATAGACGCCAGTCAAGGCAATGAAAGCCCTCCAAGAGCAGACCCGTGCGAGCTCAACCACTGCGGCGCCCTCTACCCCTGAAAGCGACAGTTCGCAGCCGCTCATCCCCAGAACGCACAACCCCAAGGTGGAAGAGTATAACGAAAATATGACCGGGCGCGGCAAAAGTGAGGGGGAGTCCCTACGAAACAGTCGAGACCGTCCTAACTTTGTCCAAGATCCACGGCGTACGGAACCTCAATGTCCTACGATACCGGATGACCGTCCCCCACATCCCCATTCAGATTCATTCTTTGGTAGTCCTCAAATCACATCAGGTCCAGCGTATTCTGGGTATGGCCAAGCTCCTGAGCCTGGTGCCTACGGTGCAACGCCTTTCCCTACAACACAGCCATATACGCAAGATTCCACAGCTTTCTTCCTCCCTCAGCCAAGTTCAGGAGGCCAATTCGAAGACCAAATCAGGTCTCGAAAGCCGAATCGACCGGAGAACATGTCGAAGTCGCCAGGTCTGGTGCCGACTACCGTCGAATTACCTCAAGAGTCAAGTATGCGGTAAGTAACATTTCGAGAACATTTGCTCGGAAGGCATAATGACGACGCAGTAGTCCAATGTCAGGTATGTCGACAGAAGAGACGCCAGAGCCTCGAGGCGAGTTCCCTAGTACACCTGCGTCTAATCAGTTTACCACGTTGGAGGAAGAATACGCAGCCCTATATCACCAGCGTCATGACATTGGTATGCGAATGGAGGAGATAAAGAGAAGCTTTACTGCGGAGGAGTACACTGCTTTGATGGCAAAGCTGGATCCGCAGAAACTTCCGACGCTCAAGCCATGGTCTGATACTACTAATGGTTGAGCGAACGGGGTGAAATTCAGTCTGAAAAAGCTACAAGGTCATTCCCACAGCAGCCTTTGAGGGGCCGAGTCCATCAAAGAATCTACAGTCTATGTCGTACTCAATCCGTATCGATGTGAACGAAGGCTGCGCTCGATATCTAGGGAGCGCCTGTCTCTGCGCGCGTGTGTTTAAGATATTTCATTAGCCGTTAAATACAGATAAGATTGATCGTAGCACTCCGGATGAGAGACTGCTGAAGCTCTTGTATCGCTACTTCGATTGATACTTGGATGGCGCGCCCTGATTACGACGAGGATGCAAGCCGTCCCTGAGACCCCTAATCACTACAAGCGAGATGGTCCAAGCTCAATCCCGCGGCGGCGTGGTGGGTGGAGCTCCGAGCATCAACACGCCGAAGCCAGCCAATTCCCTGCCGACAACCGCTGTCCCCTTCCACGTCGCTGCCATGCTCTCTGGAATTCTCATCTTCAACCAAAAAGGTGAGAACCTCATCTTTCGCGCCTTCCGCAACGACTGCCGCCCGCGACTTGCCGATGTCTTCCGCATTCAGGTCATCTCCAACGCCCAAGTACGCTCGCCCATCCTCACCCTTGGCTCCACCACCTTTAGCCATGTCAAACACGAGAACATATACCTGGTCGCCGTGACCAAGAGCAATGCCAATGCGGCGCTCGTCTTTGAGTTTCTGTACCGTTTGGTGGGATTGGGAAAGGCTTACTTCGGCAAGTTCGACGAGGAGGCCGTGAAGAACAACTTCGTACTGGTCTATGAGCTACTGGACGAGATTCTGGATTTTGGATACCCACAGAATACAGAGACAGACACGTTGAAGATGTACATTACAACTGAAGGTGTCAAGTCGGAAAGGGCAATGGTAAGTCACGTCGAGCCATCGAGCGCGACCAGAACAACAACAGCTGACAATATCACAGGAGGACTCCTCGAAGATTACAATGCAGGCAACTGGTGCCCTTTCCTGGCGGCGGGCCGACATCAAGTACCGCAAGAACGAAGCCTTCGTCGATGTTATCGAGGACGTCAACCTGCTCATGTCCGCGACGGGGACAGTACTGCGAGCCGACGTGAACGGACAGATCATAATGCGCGCATATCTCTCGGGCACACCCGAGTGCAAGTTCGGTCTCAACGACCGACTAACGCTGGGCGAAGATCATCTACAACAACCGTCTGGAAACAAGGCAGGCGCGAAGGCTACAAGAGCGGCAGCGGGAAGTGTGACGTTGGAAGACTGTCAATTCCATCAATGCGTGAAGCTGGGCAAGTTCGATGCGGACAGGATAATATCCTTTGTTCCGCCCGACGGCGAGTTCGAGCTGATGCGCTACCGAGCGACGGAGAACGTAAACCTGCCTTTCAAGGTGCACGCCATTGTCAACGAAGTTGGCAAGACCAAGGTCGAATACAGCATCGCCATTCGCGCCAACTATGGCTCCAAACTTTTTGCGACAAATGTTGTCGTGCGGATACCAACACCCCTCAACACGGCGCGCATTACCGAGCGGACGTCACAAGGCAAAGCCAAGTACGAACCGGAGCACAACAACATCGTCTGGAAGATACCGAGATTCACAGGGCAAAGCGAGTTTGTGCTGAGTGCTGAGGCCAGCCTGACCAGCATGACCAACCAGAAGGCGTGGTCCCGACCACCGCTCAATCTGAGCTTCTCTTTGTTGATGTTCACCAGTTCGGGGCTACTTGTGCGATACTTGAAGGTGTTTGAGAAGAGCAACTACAGCAGTGTAAAGTGGGTGCGTTACATGACGAGAGCGGGTAATTATGAGATAAGGTATGTTTCTCCTGCTCCACCACTCGATCACACCCATCTCACGTATATCTACCAGGTTTTGAGCATTATTATTCTGTACATTAGCCTGGATTTACACAGGTATTATTGCATTGCAGGCGTCATTGAGCCACTAAAGATATCCTTGAGCACAATGAAAGTACAACATCAGCTTTTCGAGTATCGTTCCATCCGTGACCAGAAGCTCAGGCTGATCGTTAAACGGACCAGCCACGGTTCTCTAAGCTTTGATAACCTTTCTACCGTCTTCACCTCCGACACCACGTCCCATAGAGTCCATCTTGAAACGGAGTCCTTTGTTTCATCACGTGTGAATAATGGTAAGGATGAGTTCCCTTCGAAGCATTGAAGAGGCTAAGCTAAATCGTTCATTGATGCGGCTTCCATGCCGGGTCTCATTTGGACTAGCGCGGGTTCAGTGTGGTCTCTCCTCCAGATAGTCCTGCATGCAACCTTGACTGCGTCGCATTGCGACTTCCTCTTTTCTCTTATTCCCGATTCCTAAACCGCATAGGTATCAGCGCGCCTTCTGCAGACTCTAGACATTAACAAAGTCGGAGAAGTGTGCGATGACATCGCCGGCAACGTGTCGCCGCAAGCAGCTCGTGCTTATTGACGCGATACTCGAACGAAAGAGGGTCCACTTACTTGTTAGCATATCTGATCTCACCAGCATATGGCTAGGAATCGCGAAGCTAGCAGTGCGTTGCGTAGCGGTACAGGTCAGAAAGTACGAACCTATCTATATTAGCAGACAGGCTGGAGGACTATGCAGCTTGCAAGGATTGTTGTCGTATCATAACGCTTGACATGCCGACCCCTCATGCTGTGCCGCAGCCACAATCTCATCTCAGCTGCTGATCAGCTGTCATGTGAGTGGCAAGAGGGCATCTGTCATGTCAGTGGAAAATCCCTGCCAGACACCGGCACATTCACAAAACAACTCTATTGTTCTTCCCACTTTTGAACCAGCATTACTGTCGCTTCTCTATGGAGGGTGTGGCTGCCTTCTCGTTGGCGTGCAATGTTATACAAATTGCCGAACTCTCTCGAAAGATCATCGCAACCGCGAAGGAGATCCAAACTTCTCGCAACGGCTTACCCAAAGACCACGAAGATCTACGTGCAGCTGTGGAGATCCTACGTCGAGATGTTGCGGACCTGCAGCAAAACTACAACGGCGATATCCTCCAGAGTCTTGCTGTTCAAAGCGAGGTCGCTATAAACGAGCACATAGCCCTCTTGGATTCGCTTCGACTGAAAGGACCCCGAACCTTCCTTCGTGCCTCGGCTGTAGCATTCAAAGCATGGCGCAAGCAGCGCCAGCTGTACGAGTCTCAGGCGAAAGTTGACCAACTATCAGAAGAGCTCAAGACACACATTGTCACGACCCGTATCCCGAACATAGATCGCAATGTGGATTACCTTGGCGATAAATTAGCGTCACACAATCTCTCGATAGATCATGATATGAAGATCATCGAGCAGCACCTGAACAGGGTTTATAAAGTAACTGAAAACAACTCGTACACCGCGAATGCTACATCAGAGCTCGTTAGAGAGTTACAGCGATGGCTCAAAGATTAACAAGGAGCCCAGGCGAATAGGCAGTGTCTATACGCACTCTACTTCCCAGAAATCCGGAGTAGAGCCGATCAAGTAAAGCGAGCGCATGAGGACACGTTTGGTTGGATATTCGATGGGGCTGGTGACCTGTCTGAATCTATTCACAAGAGCAAGTTCAAGAAATGGTTACGGCTGGACGATCCTAGCAGAAACGTGTTTTGGGTGTACGGGAAACCTGGCGCTGGGAAAAGTACTTTGATCAAGGTATGTTTATGAACATATCGAACGTCCGGTTCGTACACTAACTTCCCATACTCGCATCGTTCAGTTCATTGCTACTCACCCGGATATGAGATTGCACTGTCAATCCTGGCTGGGATCGCGCTCATTGCTTGTCATCGACTGTTACCTCTGGAGGCAAGGAACGATTCTGCAACGGTCATTCAGGGGATTGTTGCAATCAATACTCTACCAGGCTCTTAAGGAATGCCCTCAGCTCGTTCCAAAAGTCTTCCCCCGACGCGAATGGACGCACGCCGGAACAGATTTTCGATTTCCACAGGACATTCTGTGGAGCAGTTTTCAGGATCTTTTGAACTTGGCGCCGAGCTTCAACATCTTCCTGCTGTTCATCATCGATGGTCTCGACGAATTTGACGACCGTGTAGAGGTACTCAACAGTTCGGCACCGGATGTACAGGACTTGCTACGTCTGCTTCGCGCTATACAGGCATGTCCCTCAGCAAAGCTTTGCGTAGCTAGTCTGCCCCTAAATGAGTTTGAGATTCATTTGGGAAAGGATAGAGACTTCTGCATACCCGTACACGACTTGACCTCAAGGGACATCAGAACGTATACCGAAGATACACTGAGCAAACACCCTGCGTTTGCGCAACTCGTATTACAGGATTCTGGCTATGCAAACCTCATCGCAGATATCACCTCCGCTGCAGAAGGAGTTTTCCTAAGGGTCTACCTCGCATGCAATTCTTTGTTTAACGGATTGACTAACGCGGACCGGGTTTCTGACCTCCAAGGGCGGCTGATGCGTCTTCCCCGCGAATTGGATGAAATGTACATGCACATACTGTCAACTATTGAGCCTGAGTATCGCAGAAACACCGCCCGCTCACTCTTACTATGCACAATTCCCGAACAGCAGACACTCCTTACACACCATTACTTGGACGATGAAAGTCGCAAACAGATATTAGATGCCCCGAGCCTTCAACAGTTCATGAACGGTGAAGACATGGTATTGTTTGCGGCCACAGTTCGTAGAAGATTCCACGCGCGCAGTAGAGGGCTGTTAGAATTCAGGGCCCGATGGGACCATCAGAGCGATGAGTTTCGTGGAGTCCAGCACGAGATGTCAAAGCTGAGAAACGAATGTGTCGGACTAGCACACAGATCTATGGCAGAACTCCTTGACAGAAATGATATGAGACACCAGATCACGACCGAAGCCGGTATGGCATTCGAAATGCCTGAGCTTTATGCCCAAGCATTGATGGCCACTCTCAAGGCGGAGGTATCTATCGCATGGACGCTTCGTTCGATTCAAGATAGCGGCATTCACTTCGGGAAGAAAGATTCAAATGATGTGGAAAGAAATATCCGCGCTCTACTGCACAAGTTAGTGCCAATTATGGAACAGGCAGAGGAAGAGCAGATGAAAGCACACTGGTCCAAACTTGACGATTTCCTCAATTTCCCACTCGCACAGGAGATGAATCTCTAGGCTATCATCATGAGCTCTGTCTCTAAAGAGTTCAATCCCGACATTTTCGCCGTGGCTGTCGCCTATTCAGCACCCAAGTATGTGTCGCTTATGTTGCGGCAGAATCCGGACCTGGCCACGGACAAAACAAAAGCCTGGCCACCTCTGCTAGTATCTCTACTTTTGAGTTTTCCGACGGACCCGTCAAGGTATCGAAATTACCAAGTGATGAGAATGCTACTCGAGCATGGCGCTGATCTAAATGAACCTTTTCAAGGCACAACCCCGTGGAGGTGCTTTTTGGAAAACTCACTCGTTTCGTATCTCTTCGATCCTTACCAGTGGCAAGATATATTCAATCGTACGATAGCTCTGCTCGTTCAGTATGGAGCCGATATACATGTAACTTGGGATTGGCTTGGCTATACTATGAGCGAGCGAATTGAGAAGGTTGATCGAATCGTTCCTTCATTCACAGGTTCTGGAACGGGCTATCAACAGGAAGTACCAGATCGAGCGACTGTAACTTTCCAACTTAGCGCTGCCGCAGTTTTATTTCATCTAATGACAGGGGTTGGATGTTCAGAGAGAGAAAACACACCGGCACCAGAGTGGCTACCATCAGTACCTGAGCAAGAGCAGGTTGTAATGGTACTACTTGCGCACAGCAAATACGGTTTACGAGATGGCAGGGGAGAGAGGCGCAATAAACTTGCCCTGACAACATGATGTTTACTTTCGAATCGCGCGAATCAAGGTTGGCGTCGCGTCTGAATCAAACTGAGTTGGATGGGAGGAGACGATGTTCGAAGCGACGATGTGGTTCCTGATAGTCAACTTTTCGAACGGGCTTGTAGTCTATTCAATACATGTACAGGCTGTAAAAGCTTTCACGATTCAGCACAGTTTGTAGCAGATGCAGTACGGTATGAAGATACTGCTGGCAAGTCGGTATGCATGTGCATGCTATACGCTATATGATAAGTATCGAATTTCACAGTCTTCACAGCACCTTCGCCTATAAGAGCTGGGGAGTAGAATCTAAACCCCCAGTTCTAGGATCTTGCCGCGTCAATACGTGGCTGTAGCATATGGACTGTAGAGCACGGTGAAGACGGGTTCAATTGGGTAATGACTCAACAACCCAACGATATACGTGTTAGTACACAGATAGATTGACATGGCGGTTCTAACAGCTGTTGTACCCTTGGTAGTAGCTTGTGTGGCTTCACGGCATGGTTGCAGGGTTACGCTGACAAATTCTTTCATAGCCTGCCTAACTTCAATACAGCACGCCCTTTGTACTCCTAACCTCACCCTCCCACTGCTTCACCACGGTTGTCGCATGCCTGATAGCGACTGCAAGCGCCTTGAAGGCACTCTCTGCCCTGTGGTGATCGTTGTCACCGCGTATGCAGTCAACGTGGAGGGTGGTGCCCGACGCCTGCGCAAAGCTTTGGAGGCAGTGCGGGATCATCTCGCAGCTCAAATCGCCAATCTTCTCCCGCTTAAGACCCAAATCAATGATGCTATATGGCCTGTTCGACAGGTCGATGACAGCCCGTGACAGCGCCTCGTCGAGCGGTGCGTATGCGTGTCCAAAGCGGGCCAGACCCGTGCTTCCCTGCAGCGCATTCTTGAAGGCTGTGCCTAGCGCCAAGAAGGTGTCTTCGCTCGTGTGGTGGTCGTCAATGTGCAGGTCGCCCTTGCACCGTATGCGCAGACTCCAGCCGGCGTGCTTGGCCATGGCGTGGATCATGTGGTCGAGGAAGCCAATGCCGGTGTCGACAGAAATCTCCTGAGATGTCGACTTCTGGGTAGCGTGGTCCTTGTCTACCTTCTCGCCATCGCCATTGAGACTCTTCTTGTCGTAGGCTGCCCAGAAGTCGCTGTGCTCGTAGGGTGAGAGGTCGCCGCCATCGATGTTTATCGAGACTTGGATCTTCGTCTCGTTCGTATCGCGGTTGAGGCAGCAGGCGCGCGGCATGGTGACGATCGTGTGCGTAAGGTTGATCTCGGCTGGCTTCCGGGGGGGTGTTGGGAGCTTGTAGAGCGGTCAATGATGGTGGTAAAGTCGAGGGACAAAAAGTTGAAGCGGATGCAGAGGGGCTTCCCCACGCCCCACGTCATGGCGCCAAGCAATATAGGGCTGGAAAAGTCTGGCCAACCAACGAATCGCCGAACCAAAGTCCGCCCCAAAATTTTGATATCGCAAAGTCACGTCTCGAACACAGGATCGTCATTCAGACGCAGTCACATAAACGCATTATCTCTCAACCGACATCGGCTATTCATTAACTTAAGAGCAAGGAACAAGGCCAAAATGCCAGGCGCAACAGAAGAACCCACGCAGGTCCCAATCTTGGATCCTACCTCCGAGAACAACGAGGAGATTGATCCGGCGATCGATCGCGACAGGATCAGAGTCGTACGTACGATCTGAATGATATAGAAAAACGCGTATCTAATTTGCCCTAGCTGTCCGGTGCGACAGAGACGGCAGCATCTTTCCAGTTTGATGGCGAGGACCACACGCTAGGCAACGCGCTGAGATACATCATCCACAAAAAGTAAGCCAAACGTCTCGGCGCATAGATGAGTAAACAGCTAATGGCTCGATAGCCCCGATGTCGAGTTCTGTGGTTACTCCATTCCGCATCCTTCAGAAGCCAAGATGAACTTGCGCATCCAGACATACGGTAGGTCATGCATGCGAAGCTACGTTAATCTGGCAACTAACACTTAACTAGATGGCGTCAGCGTATACACCGTGCTGGAGAAGGGCCTTGAAGACCTCATGGCCATGTGTGATGTCGTCGAGCAGAAGTTCACAATTGCACGCGATGACTTTGTGAACAAGATGGAAGAGTAGGGCCGTAACGCGCCTATAGTTACGAAATTATTGCATTGCTGGCGTTCAAGGATAGCATGATCAACTGGCGAAAGGAAAGGAAAATGGTATTGTCTTCAGCTATATACACCGAATTTTGTTCTTGGTTGTCCCCGGACATTGGTAGTAATGGACAAATCAGTTCCGACCCTATACACGCCTATTAGCATATGATTCCGCGAGAGTATTGACGCAAAGAGTAAGCGTACCTCCAAGAAGCCGTTGATGAAGTTGCTTGGTAGCCGGGCCTTGGGATCCTCTTCCGCGCGGAAGTATTTGAGAACGTGTGACAGTTGTTTCCAGAAGTTGAGTGTTTCCTGTACGAATATCAGTACATTCCCCACTTTCAAAGCGTGTTGGTCCGTGGTGTACCTGGAACTCCTGATGACTGTTGAACAGCAGCACATCTACTGTTTTGAGTTGATTCACGTATCGATGCCGCTCGAATTCCTGCCGCATTTTCGTTCGAAGCGTGGATACGGGCATGTTCAGCGAGTACATGGTCTGGATTTCGGGAGCCTGTAAGGTCATTGTCAGCCCAGGTTCCACGTCCTGCTGCCCGCTTCTCCGCATCCCATGCTTTCCCTCCCTCGTTCCAGCTCTTCCCGTACACATGCTGTCCCCAGGCCCCGAATTCCTCCCAAGGACTTGTAAATTCATGGAGTCAACATACCGACCGCAGCCAGTCCCGGTAGCTGTGAATGACCCTCTTCTTCGCATCAGTCCAGTTGACCGCTGTGTCAGCATTAGCTTTTCCACTCCTCCAATGTTCCTTGATCGTGTTCGACTAACAGGAGCGCGTGCGCTGAGCGAGGTAGGTGGGGTTGATGACCATGTTGGCGGTGTTGGGGAGCTTCCAGTCGTCTCGAAGCCGGAGCTGGAGTGACGATGCGGCTCGCGGGAGTGGAATGCCAAGGCCTGGCGTTAGCGCGGATTTTACTCCCGGCGCAGTCGCGAAGTTATCGAAGGCTTCTCTCTCGAAACCACGAATACCCTCAACGTCTTTGCAGCATACTCCAAGCTCGAACGCATCTGTCGCCATAATCGACATTCTACCTCGCGCCAAATTCGCAGATTTCGGCCTGCTACAACCAGCCCAGCCATGCCTCCAGTCCGTACCGCACGCGCTTCGCGCAAGGCCCCGCCGGAGGGCTTCGATGACATCGAGGATACCCTCCTAGAATTCCAGAACAAGATGAAGGACGCCGAGAACGCATCGCACGAGGGCAAGAAGAAGTACGAAATGACGTGGCCCATCTTCCAAATCACCCACCAACGCTCGCGCTACATCTACGACCTATACTACGAGAAGGAGGCCATCAGCAAGCAGCTCTACGACTATTTGCTTAAGAACGGCTATGCAGATGCCATGTTGATCGCCAAGTGGAAGAAGCAAGGCTATGAGAAGGTAAGTCAATTCTACACAGGCAACCTCCTAGCTCGAATCAAACTAACTCGCGAGTAGCTATGCTGCACGCGCTGCATCCAGACCAAGGAGACAAACTTCCGCTCGACCTGCATTTGCCGTGTCCCCAGGGATCAGCTCAAGGAGAACCAGGAGATTCAATGCGTGAACTGCGGCTGCAGAGGGTGCGCCTCCAGCGACTGAGCAGTATGACGAGGAGCAACTGCGAGGACAGACCCATACTCTGATCAATAGCGATAGACGCTGTCTACACTCTACGAATACTGCCAGGGAGGATGCAAAGAAGCGCAATCAAGCGCGCGCGACAGAACCAGGCGCAGTCAGCAGGTAGACTGCTACAAGATACTGAAGTTGGCTGCTCATATCGAATGGGCCGCCAAGATGAGTTTGAGAACACGGTCACAACAAAAGCATAGGGTGTGTCTATTGACCGGAACATAATAATTCAAATGTTAACTTGTATACAGAGAAAAGTGAGTGAATGATGGTGTCCCCAACCTGGACGCCTGCAACCTGTGGGTATACTTGAACCATTACGCAAGTCGTCCAGTCGTAAGGGAAGACCCAGTCTATGTTTGATATCCGCCTGCCCGCAATCTATTAACCAAAACGCCACTCCAGCAACTCAGAAGGCCGAGCTTGCGTCGCTCATCCGCTTGTAATTGGAATTGGTACTACGTTGTGATGATCTCCGGCTCATATCCCGGCCAAATCGCGATTCCGGTAGGGAATCTAAAATGCCCTGTCGCCGAACCCAAGCTGTCGGTGGTGGAGAGGGCCATAGTTCTGATATCTCGGATCCCAAACTCCTCCTGGCCAATTCGCTGTGTGTCAGTCGGAATGGGCTAGCCCCATCAATTGGCGAGTCTCGACCGGAGCGACCCTTCTCCGATATGCTGCGCGCGGGTGTCTTTGGTGTCGCGCCATCATCCTCTTGGTCTTGATTCACCATTCGAATGTACTCTCTGCTTTGACCGAGAACCTGGGCTTCTCTGTGCCGGCCGTCAGAGACATGAGTGCTGAATGCGGACATGTTGAAAATCTTGCTTCCTCTTCGGGTGCTGTCTAATGACGGCAAACGTATCATGTAGTCTTTCTCTGGGGCCGGAGGAGGTGTTTGCAGAGTTTGCCTCGCTTTCCGCGCTTTTCGTCTGCGCCACCAGAATGCGGTGAAGATACATACCGCACAAAAGGCGATCATGACGGGTATCATTCCAAGGCCAATTTTTGTCCCGAGAGTCATTCCTGGTCCCCCTCGTGCTATTGAGTGTGCAGACGGTGTTTCGTTTTTCATGGCCGATGGGACCGCTGGCGGCGGCGGCGGCAGTGGTGGTGTCGACGAGTCTACGACGAGTGCTCTTGGTAACGATGCTGACTGCGCTGAAGGGTGCGTGGGCCTTGTGCTTGGAGTGTTGGGTTCGAGATTTGACATTACTGGACTTGCTGTATTTGCGCGTGCCCATACATGGGGAATATTAATGATAGGACTCATGTTGGGTGTCGATGTGTGTTGGATAAAACGAAGTAAAGAAATGTTTCTAGGTGTGGTAAAGAACGAAGGTAGAAGAAATGGCCATGCTATGTCCAATATCTTTTTTTAGTGAGTGAATTAGTGATGCCGACGAGGTGTCTCTATCATCGCATGTCGAACGCAAACCTGAAACCAAGCAGATAAAGGTGCCTTTGTAGAATACAATGGAAGCACGGTCAAGCACCGCCTACCGTGCTTTCGAAGACAATCACCACACTGACCACGGGATGATTATCGATTTGCGCGTTCCGCTTGGTCCCCCGGTGGTCTATGATGAGACGCAATTTATCCCGACCATAGTCGTACGGCACTGAATTCGGATGCAACTGCTACTTGCCCAGGTGGTGAAGCCAATGACTGCTGCGTCGTTCCTTACTATACCGGTAAGTACACAAGAGGGGTTCACACCTGCATTTTACAGCTCTTGGTACAGGCAGGATCAATACATCCATACGATAACACTTGCATCCGCATGAACATGACAACCTTGGAAGTCTTTCTTTTGCGCGCATAGATTCTCGTGAAGTACCGACTCCCCTCAGCACATGCGAACGTCTAAACCCAAACGAACAAATGCCATCATCCCGTTCATCTCTCATTTGCTCAGACAATCGCAAAGATGAGATCAACACGACTAACACGCTGATTGATATCAAATTGCCACATACTCGAAGAAGTCGGAAGGTCTAACAGTTCAACACCGATCCATGGATGGTTGGGATCTTGGAATGGCTAGCGTAATGCACTTGCGCTGTTTCTAGCGTCTCCTTGTTCTTCTTTCCAGCCTACCTCTCACAAGGCTGCTGAGCATGGCTTCTCAAACGCCCATATATACTCGACAGTCTTTTGTTCGTCGTTCTGGCAGAACAGCCGGAGAACATCTCCTCATGGTGTTTTTTTGCTGGCTGAAACACAACACAGAGATGATCCCCGAGCTTTCCCCACGTTTCTCGCCGCACCTGCGTGCACGAAGATAGAGAGCTGATATATATGCGCCCACACAGCGTGGAAAATGCCAGTCTTTTGGGGAGACGGAGCCCATGGCCCATCACTCGCTTTCAAAGCCAATCTGCGCGATAGCGAGATGTTGCTCTAGCAGACTACTCACGGCTAGTGTTCCTCCCTTCGGCCGCCCTTGTAGTAATCGCATCCTTGGGTCCTCTCTTTCATATTGTGCAACCATGAGTTCTAGACGCCACAAAGAGCTGCTCATCGAAGGTGGAGTCTGAAAAGCTATAAGCAAGCATACTTTCGACCGGTCACACAGGTTCTAGACGCAACCTTGGAAGCAGCATTCCACAGCTGTGATATGATGAGAAGGGATCGTCGCACTGTGGCAGAAAATCAGCTTCTGCGATGCTGTGTTCACGGCGCAAATCAGAAATGACGAGTATTATGTGCAGCAGCGTTCAGGTTATGTACTCTAGAGAGTATCGCTCTAAGATTTGTCTTACTGTACCCTTGGGAAGGCTACCTACCTATATGAAACCCGCCGACGTCAAATGCCATCATTGCTTTCAGTATCCCCATCCTCTATATTACCTTTCACGGACTTGTGATATCGATGGGCAAGGCTGCTAGGGCAGATTATCTTGAGACGCGATGAGTAGCCGGGACAGACACATGCTGTTTCAACGGAACATGACGACTTGTCGATTTCGGTGAACGATCACCTCGGTACCTAGGTAGTGACGCAATGTTGGCGAAACAGCCGCTTTCTGGCCAAGACATCACATCTGATGTTAGTAGCTATTTTGGAAAGATCAAACATAGCGGAACCTTGTCAAGATGTAGTTTACGCTACGCCACACATCCTGATACGCACGAGTGAGTGCTCACATATTAGGTTCTCAGTAAGCGATGCCTTGCCAACGCTGATGGCCACAGCCTGCAAAGAGTGGGTTGTACTGGGGCTCTCCCCATTCGTCATCCTCAATCTTAAGGGAGCAAGGCTGCCGCAACAAGACCGAAGCCGAGAGTGAGGCCAAGATGCCATGTCAAACAACTGGGGTCCGCTTGTTTCACAAGGCGCGTTCCAAGACTACCAACATTGGTATCGAACAAAGAGTGTACCGCCCGAGCGCATGGCTGGCATATAACAAGTAGAAGGCCTCGCAATCCAGAAACCTCATATTCGCCAAATCCAAAAAAAATCCACAATCATGATGTCCTTTACTTCTGAGAAAACGCCACTACTCCCTGTCGTCGAACGCACTCTTGACGCCTATGTCAGGAACATGGAACAGCGCCGTCGCGAAGGCATCGAGTACGCATTGCTGGTATCAACATTGCTGTTGACGGTCTTCCAATTCCTGGTACTTTACAGCGGCGACAGCCTCGTGCCCGTGGCTCTGGACAGCCGCTACTACGCCCTGTTGGCCCAGCTCGCGCGCGGCCTGCGCATGTCAATTCCAGCCAGCCTGCCCACAGCAGCCATCTTCTTCATTGTCGCGCCGTACCTGGTGCAGAAGGAGCGGGTTGTGATGACGCGGTACGCGATCCTCGTGTGTTATTTGATGGGGTCGACGCTGGGCGCGTTGCTGCTCTAGACGCGCAGGGGTTTTGACTCAACGTGGCTCGCGTGGGGATCGGCGGGCAGCGATAACGGCGGGAAAGCGCATCCTCCAACTTTTTGGGCAGCTTCCATCGCAAGACTCATTGGGCGCAGGACGTCAATTGAGTGAGTCAGACAAGACAAGGGATACAAAAAGATCATCAGGTATGTATGGTCCCAGCATTGGGCTCCCTCGACCGTTGCTGCCGCGAGAGTTCCTGTGTCATCGCAGTAGTCGCAAACAACGACTCAAGTGTCAACATAGCTAACATTGTCACACAGTGCAATTGATTGCTCATTACGTATCCCAAAATGCCCCTCACACGGCCCAACCCGCGATTCCTCGCCCGCACAAACCGTATCTTCACCTCGCAAATACGAACATACGCTGCACCGGGCGACGGCGTGATCCCACCTGCCAAGAAGAAGTATGTTCCGACTTCAGGCACATACCCGCTTGGATTCAAGGCTGGAAGTGCGCATGTTGGTGTCAAGGCGTCCAACACCCGCTTCGACGATCTTGCTCTCATCGCATCCGACACACCATGCGCGGGAGCGGCCGTCTTCACAACGAACAAGTTCCAAGCTGCTCCAGTCACAGTCAGCAGGGACATGCTGAAGAAGAGGAAGGGCGAGGGAATACGGGCTGTCGTAGTGAATTCAGGGTGCGCCAACGCAGTGACGGGACGTGGAGGTATTGAGGATGCTATATCCATGGGCCAAGAAACCGACAAGTGCTTCATACAAGACAAGAACGGGCAAGACGACCTGAAAGGAAGCCGGAGCATTGTCATGAGCACAGGTGTCATCGGCCAGCGCCTGCCCATTGACAAAATTACCTCGAAGATACCCACTGCATTCTACAATCTCGGAGACACGCACGAACACTGGCTAGGCACCGCACGTGCAATCTGTACAACCGACACATTCCCCAAGCTCGTCTCAAAGACATTTTCGTTACCGAGTACTCAACAAGAATACCACATTGCGGGTATGACTAAGGGCGCAGGCATGATCCATCCCAACATGGCCACGCTTCTAGGCATAATCTGCACAGACGCCCCCGTCGCCCCTTACCTGCTCCGTCAAGCACTTGTC